ATGTATGCAGCGGAAGTCTGATAAATGGACTGACTCACATAGACTGACTCACACAGATATCACTCCACACACAAACAATCGTGAGATGGTGGGGTCTGAGCCATTCATAGACGATGCTCAGGCCCCGTACACRCATACACGGATGAAGGTGGGAGGAGAGACGAAGGAGGTGGGAGATATAGGCAAACGCCAGATGTCACCGAGATAGAAACCAGTAGGTCACCGATATGGTAGTCCAAAATGTCACCGAACAAGATCAAAAGGTTGTGGACAATGAGTCACCAATGTCGGAGATACAGAGTCCTAATGTAGCCGGTGTCCAATCTGTGATGCTGCTGAGTATCAACCCCAACCATCTCCAAGTCTCGAATCCGGTAAGTACCACAGCCTCTTACCACCGAAGTCCAACACTGATCTCTGTCCAACTAGTGTCAAGTATCCAGTCTGAAGAAGAAGAAGAAGAAGAAGAAGAAGGAGAAGAGATGGCAGAGGAGGAGGAGGTGAGGAGGAGAGAGCCTGGGGCCGTGGAGGGAGGAGAAGACCCCCTCGCCTCCTGGTACCTCGCGGTGCTGCAGTCCAACTGCAGGTCGCGGCTATGGCCGCCGTGCTGCGGGTGGCTGCTGCCTCGCTCCTTGCTCACTGCCGCTGCTGCGCTAGCTCACGCTGCTGCTGCTGCTCCGTGCTGCGCTAAGAATAGCGCTGGCGCTGCTCCTGCTGCTGAACCGACACGACTGGCGCTCGAGCAGCGTCCCAGTGTTCGATGCCTCGGAATGAGGCCGGACTGGTCTTTAGTACCGGTGGGCAGGAGGCCGGCCTCAATGCTGCGAGGCCTGGCCGTGACCTGAACCGTCGAGATCGTCGGTTCAGATCACACCGGCGGGCGGCAGCCTCAAGAGCGCCGCCAGGCCCAAACGGTAATGTCGTTTGGGCCTGCCCGTCGGGTCTGGTCCAAAGATGNACACCGGCGGGCGGCAGCCTCAAGAGCGCCGCCAGGCCCAAACGGTAATGTCGTTTGGGCCTGCCCGTCGGGTCTGGTCCAAAGATGCGGCCTTTTGGCCTGCTGTACCCCAAGTCTGGGCCTTTAGGCCCTACTGTGTCCCTCTGGCCCTAAGTCGGGTCCGGCAGGACCCGTGTGGCGTCGAAGATGTAACACACTCCCCCTCTTAAAAGACCGAGCTACCTGCGAGGGCGGAGTTGTCTGTCCGATACCGGGGCGGGTCGGGCGGGACGAGCTGCTTCCTTGGCAAGGCGTCGCTTCTCATAGTCGGCGAAGATAAGGGGTGCAGAAGTCTACAAAAGTCTGCACTAGAGATCCACCGAGTGTCATCAGGCGCACATTGCTTGAATGTGACTTTGAACTGCATTGGCTTGTTGCCATACTTGCGGTGCGTGATGACTCGGTCCATTTCCTGATGTCCATCCATAGAAGGCGGATCCTGTGATCGACGGCCGGGAAACTCGTCGGCGGAAGGTGGCGTGTAGATGGCCAGCTTTGACGCGTGGAAGACCCGGTGCACTGGAAGGTGCGGAGGAATGTTGACCACAAAGGAAGGACCTGCGGGGTCGTCTCCAATGACAGAAGTGACTTCCCATGGTCCGAACCATTTCGGAAGGAGTTTGCGCGAAACGTCCTGCTCGAGCGCAAATTCCTCGGAGAGGATCCAAACAAGGTCTCCCTCGCAGAAAGGACATGGAAGTCGACGTCGGTTAGCTTGCTGCTGCATGCGGATTTGAGCCTTTTGCATATTCGCGCGGGCTTTGATCAGCAAGTCCCGGTACTTCCGAACGGAAGCGGGAGAGCAAGAGACGTCTATGTCGGCGGTCTGTGGCAGAAGGAGATCAGCGAAGATCCGTGCTTTCTCTCCACCATGATGTAGCTCGAATGGTGTGACGCAGATCGTCGGATGCACCGAAGTGTTGTAGGCAAACTCAATGTTGGGAAGCCGGTCAACCAAATCTTTATGGTCGGGACGGATGAGCGTACGCAACATCATCTGAGCGGTCTAGTGTGCTCGCTCCGTCTGGCCATCCGGCTGCAGGTGCCGAGCTGAGCTCGGCTTCATTGTCCTACCGGACTCAGCCATAAGGGAAGTCCAAAAGGCCGACATGAAGCGAGTATCTCGGTCGCTCACTATATCTTCCGAAACACCCTGGTTGGTAATCCAACCGATGTGCAAGAGTCGTGCGAGCTCAGGTGCTGCAGCATGATACTTGCAAGGAAGGAAGCGAGCATACTTGCTCAAACGGTCAACGACCGTGAGAATACCGTCATGGCCGAGGCGATCAGGGGGGAACGGGCTTGTCACGTCCATAGCAATGGAGAGGCGCGGTGCGCCGGTGCCCGAGGAATCAGCAACGGTTTGAGTTCGCCGAAGGGGACTCGAGATCGACCCTTGTTACGGTGGCAAACTGTACATGACTCAATGTACCTCGTGACGTCATGAAGGACGTCAGGCCAGTGAAAACGCTGGCGGAGGCGTGCTAATGTGCAGTTTACGCCAAGGTGTGTCGAAAGTCGTGCGTCGTGGAATTCGCCGAGAAGACGAGTCCGTAAGATGTGATCTTGGGGCACAACTAACAAGTCCTTTCCTCTCGTGTATAGGAAGAGGAACCCGTCGGAAATCCAATAATGGCTAGTCGGCGGTTGATCCAATGAAAGCTCCACGTAAAGCGTAGAGTAAGTCGGATCGGACTTGTAGCCTTTGACAAAATGCGGTTGCAGATCGTCATCGAGGTCGAATGTCGTGGTCACAATGGCACAAAAATCAGGCCGTCGTGAGAGGGCGTCCGCAGCTCGATTGGCGGGACCGGGAATGTGGCACGGGTCAAAGTCGAACTGGTCGATGTAATACATTCATCGACCGTATCCCGAAGCGTCCGTAGTCACTTGGGTAGGAAGGATGGGGTCGTATATACGGAGGGCAGGTGCGGCTTGCATCGCTGCCTTCAACGTAGTGAACGCGCCACGGGCTGCGTCGTCGAACTCGAAGGGCACCTTCGGGGATTGAAGTCTCGACAAAGGAGCGGCCACTTTCGAGTATGACTCGACGAATCGCTGATAATATCCAACCAAACCCATGAAAAAGTGTACATCCGTCGTGCAACGGGGTTCCGGCCAATCCACGATGGCTTGGATCTTGTCCGCTAAGGGACGAATGCCTTTCGGCGTGACATAGTGGCCCAAGTATTCAAGCTCCTGCTTGGCGAACTCGCACTTGTCGAGGTTCGCGTTGTACTTGGCCAGTCGCAAACGATCCAAAACAGCGTGAAGGTGTACGATGTGCTCGTCCAATGTCCTACTATAGACCAAGATGTCATCGAGGTAGATGAGGACACTGCGGTCGAGCAAGTCGCGAAACTCAGTCGTCATAGCTGCTTGGAAAGTCACGGGGGCATTGGTGAGCCCAAATGGCATGACAACCCACTCAAAGTGCCCGTACCGCGTCTTGAACGCGGTTTTGTACCGATCTTGAGGCTGGATTTCAATCTGGTGGTAACCTAACTTCAAGTCCAACTTCGAGAAGTACGTGGCGCCGCCTAACCGCTCAAGGAGATCATCAATCCGAGGGAGAGGGCCGGCGTTCTTTACGGTTTGTGCGTTAAGTTTGCGATAGTCGATGCATAACCGTAGATCTTTGTTCTTCTTCCGGACGAAGAGAACAGGGGCACCGTAAGGCGAACAACTAGGGCGAATCCAGCCCTTGTCAAGGAGGTCGTCGAGTTGTGCGCGAAGCACCTCGAGTTCCTCTTCGCTCATGCGGTAAATGCATCCACGCGGAGGGACGGCGCCAGTCTCGAGAGTGATCCCGTGAGGTATGGGCCGATCCGGAACCGTTCCGGTGGGAGCCTCGAAGACGTCTCTATACTTGTCCAAGAGGTGAGAAATGTGTGGGTCCGGCGGACGCGGCTGGTCTGTCCGGCGAGGGGAGAGCATGCAAGAATAGAAGGCCCATCTCCTCGACGTCATTCCGAGCTATGGCGTTGCGAATTCTCGTAACAGAAACCACGTGACAAGCAATCGAAGTGTGAGGGGTCGCGACCGTACATGGGACTAACACTCCGTTCCGATCACGGATGTGAACGGTCCGGTCGTGGAATTGCACTGGATGATCGGCGCTACGCAACCAAGACATGCCTAGAATCATGTCGAACTTGGTGTCGAGGATGTCAAAAGACACCAGCTCGCACGCAAGTGGCGCAAAGTATACTGGAACGCCGTCGACGCATCGGTCAATTGACTTTTGCGTGCGGCCGTCCGCGAGTGTAACTTGCGTAGGTTGCGTCTTCCTTCGAACGCGCGGGCCAAGRCCTGCGCGGGCCATAAAGGCTTGGCTCATAAAGTTGCGAGACGCTCCGCAATCAATCAAGCCACTACAGGTTGCCTTCCCGATTTGAATGCAGATATAGAGCAAAGGAGCGTCGGTTTCGGCGTACCTTTGGGTGGCGTACTCGCGGTCAATCTTCACAAGATAGGAGCGGAGATCGACAACCGCTACCCCGTCGTCCGTCAACGGAGCTGGTACTGTAGTGTGCAAATAGGAGTGTAGATTTGCCATTAAGGCGTTGCAATGCGGCCTTGGCAAGGTTCCGGTTGAGGGTAGAGGCATCCAAGCGAAGTCCTCTTTCGTGAGCGGGTCAAGCTCCTCAAGTCTTGACCACGCCGCCGAGTCCTTGGAAATCAGTGGCGAGCTGACCGGATCACTTGCCGACGGTGTACAGGCTGTGCATACGCAATCTAAGTGCACGTGGCTCGGCTGGTCTAGTGGTGGTACCAACTGGGCGGCATAATCCTCGTACGTAGCACGAGAATCAGCGACTAACGCATGYTSCCCGGTAGTGACATCGATTGCTAGCAAGGCAACCGGTTCCGGCGGAGTGAGGAGAGACGTCGCCTCTCTCCTTGCGCAACTCAGTTTCCCGAGTTTGCTGGACGGGGTACGCGTGCCTTGCCCTTTTCGGGGCATTGTGCGGTCAAGTGAGTGACACCATTGCACCAAAGGCAATATCCGTACCGTTGACGAAGGTCATATACTTCCTTGGTTATCTTGTATGTCGTCCATGGTTGCTGCCCAGTTCCTGTCGATGTCGTCGCGTCTGTTGCCTTGTTCTTTCGAACTCTCTTGGGACGCTTCGGCGGGAGCGCTGCAAGAACTCCTCCATCACCCGAGGATGCTGCTGCAGCGTGGAGATCGACTGATTGATCAGGAATCACGGCATTGCTATGTGCCGATCGTTGATAGCCCTGCTTAGCCACATAGTGCGGTTGGGACTGTTTCTCGTTAGCGGCCTTGTCGTCCGTCTGGATGACTAGGTTCGCACGATCCAGAATAGCCTGGAATGAGGTATAATCGTACTTGTTGCCGAGTGCTGACCACAGTCCTGCGCACGATCACGAAAAAACCTCGGATCGTTGGTTAGGAAAACTCAAAATCAAAGCCTGGCGTGGTCACTATCTTTTGCCACTTGATTGTCCAGTCTCGAGTTGGCATGCTTCCTTGTGAGATGGTGTACACCTCGTTCATGGCCGCCTTCACGACGTTGCGGACCATGAATCGAGTGAACCATAGTTGCTCGAACTCCTTCCACGCAATGTGCGTGTGGAGTTCGGCGATGGTGCATTGCTTGGTGGCCGCAAGGTGGTTCAACCATGCCTGTGCTCCTCGAATCAGTTGTAGGTAGAGCGCCTTCAACATGTCTTCAGTCGGGACAGTGCGGCAGGATGCTTCCATGAGGAAGCCTTGCCACCATGTCAAGGCGTCTGTCTTGTTGTAGTCGTCGAACTTGCTGATGTGGAAGTGCGGCATCTTGTAGTTCTTTGTAGCGGCGTCCGGTCTTGTCTGCAGCTTGGCGATGTCCGTCTTGATGGCGGCCACCGTGCTGCTGATCGTGTCCGTACCAGTGAAAGCACCTAGGTCGCCAATGAGATTGACGACATGGTCGATGCGCCCGTTGAGCTGCTTCGTCGTGTCTGTCGTGCAGCCTGGCGCCGCTTGGGAAGGCCTTGCCTCCAGAGTAGCAATGCGGGCGTCCATCTGTTTCAGCTGCGAATCCACGACCTTAACGGCTGCTGCAAGCGTCTTCACGTTATGGGTGAGTTCGTTTTGTATTTGCTGTGTAGATCTGGAATGAAGTTCCCCCATGGTGCTGTTCCAGATGACGGCACGCATTGTATTGAGTAGAATGTCTGCCAGGTTTTGTCTCTCCTGTTGTACTGTCGTTGGCTCGGCGCCTGCTACGGGGACATAACGCATCCCGTTGAGTACCGTTGTCCACTGATCATGTTGAGAGATCAGAAGCTCGGCACTGTTGGCATTGAGTTGGTCGGTCGCCAACTGCGCCGCCTCAGCTTGTTGCTGGGCGCGGGCTGTAGCTGCTGCTGCTAGCCTTTGTTTGTCTGCTTCGGCAGCATCTTGTCGTTCCTTGGCAAGGGTTAGTGCGGCCGTATAGGTCTGCACTCTCTGAATGTAGTCCGCGATGGGCTCACTCGGCCCTTGAGCAGGACAGACCGGCAATGGTTCGACATTGCTAGATGTCGACGTCTCGGATGACGTCCCGCTGTTCTGCGTGTTCGCCATCTGAGTGCTGGTCTGTGGCTGCTGTCAAACTGCAGTTTGCTGTTGCTGTTGGCGATTTGCGATCCTTCTGCTGTGTCGTGGCTGCTGTGTCGTGGCTGCTGTTCGGTGGCTTGCCCTGCTGGCATCAGTGAACTGTTGTTGAAGGCTGGCTCGTCTGAATGGTCGCAGAACAGTGAAAGGGAGAGGGTGGGTACAGGGGTAGAATAGATCAGGCAATTCACATACAAACCCTGTCCCAATGATGGACTTATACACCTAATCAAAACAGAAAAAGATAAATTTTCCCTGAAAATAACTTAAATTTCGTAATAAGAGAATAATAACGAATTAATAATCAATAAAATTAAATTAATGATTAATAATGAATTAATATTTCTTATAATAATCAATAACCAATAATTGCAATAATGGTCATTAATGAATTTTAAGTTGTAAGGATTAGGTATCCGTTGAGATCCTCTATTGTTCGGGAGTTCACCGTTTGATGAGTGAACGACCCGGAAGTTGCAATTCTAAGGGAACGATTCCGAAGTGTGCCAATTTTTTTTCGGGAAATCAGGGGAAAAAAAACACTCGAATTGTCGAGAAACGTGAAATTTCAGGAATTTCAACCCACAAAATCCGTTTTTAAAGGCCTAAGTCCGTTTTCGGAATTTTTCAAACTAGGGGGGGGAAAAAAATTCGCGAAAATTTCGGAGTCCAACCCTAATTTTCCGCGATTCCGTGGAATTTTCGGTATTACGGTTCCAAAACCTTCGAATTTCCCAATTTGAACAAAACCGAAATCTATCGTAACCCTAATTTCCAATACCGAAATAAAACGGAAATTCCGATTGAGAAAAACGAAATACAGGATTTAAAATAAAATGCCAAAATTAAAAATGGAATGCCGAATTGAAAATCAGAATGCCGAACTAAACAGAATACTGCTTTAAACCTAATAACGCATTAGCATTAGAAATCCGAAATAAACAGAATATCGGATTAACTAGAATACCAATTAATCGGAACCCGAATAAAACAGAATACCGGATTAAAATAGAGATCTGAATTGAAAGTCCGAATACCGAATTGAACCGGAATGCGGAATTAAACAGAATACCGAAAAAAGAAAAATAAATTTGCAACTTTGAATCTCGATAGTAATACAGAGCTGATTTGGAGGATCGAAGAAGCAATCTATTCCTAAATCAGACTTACCTGGTGAGCAGATCCATCGTTTGGTCTGCTCCGATACCAAAACTATTGCATACTCGTGAATACTTCAACGATTATGGGGCAGAACAAAAGATCAACCAATATAGGATGAGCATGTATGCATCGGAAGTCTGATAAATGGATTGACTCACATAGACCGACTCACACAGATATCACTCCACACACAAACAATCGTGAGATGGTGGGGTCTGAGTCATTCATAGACGATGCTCAGGCCCCATACACGCATACACGGATGAAGGTGGGAGGAGAGACGAAGGAGGTGGAGATATAGGCAAACGCCAGATGTCACCGAGATAGAAACCAGTAGGTCACCGATATGGTAGTCCAAAATGTCACCGAACAAGATCAAAAGGTCGTGGACAATGAGTCACCAATGTTGGAGATACAGAGTCCTAATGTAGCCGGTGCCCAATCTGTGATGCTGCTGAGTATCAACCCCAACCATCTCCAAGTCTCTAATCCGGTAAGTACCACAGCCTCTTACCACCGAAGTCCAACACTGATCTCTGTCCAACTAGTGTCAAGTATCCAGTCTGAAGAAGAAGAAGATGAAGTCTGAAGAAGAAGAAGAAGAAGAAGAAGTATGAAGAAGAAGGAGAAGAGATGGCAGAGGAGGAGGAGGTGAGGAGGAGAGAGCCTGGGGTCGTGGAGGGAGGAGAAGACCCCCTCGCCTCCTGGTACCTCGCGGTGCTGCAGTCCAACTGCAGGTCGCGGCTATGGCCGTCGTGCTGCTGGTGGTTGCTGCCTTGCTCCTTGCTCACTGCCGCTGCTGCGCTAGCTCGCGCTGCTGCTGCTGCTCCGTGCTGCGCTAAGAATAGAGTTGGCGCTGCTCCTGCTGTTGAACCGACACGACTGGCGCTCGAGCAGCGTCCTAGTGTTCGATGCCTCAGAATGAGGCCGGACTGGTCTTTAGTACCGGTGGGCAGGAGGCCGGCCTCAATGCTGCGAGGCCTGGCCGTGACCTGAACCGTTGAGATCGTCGTTTCAGATCACACCGGCGGGCGGCAGCCTCAAGAGCGCCGCCAGGCCCAAACGGTAATGTCGTTTGGGCCTGCCCGTCGGGTCTGGTCCAAAGATGNACACCGGCGGGCGGCAGCCTCAAGAGCGCCGCCAGGCCCAAACGGTAATGTCGTTTGGGCCTGCCCGTCGGGTCTGGTCCAAAGATGCGGCCTTTCGGCCTGCTGTACCCCAAGTCTGGGCCTAAGTCGGGTCCGGTAGGACCCGTGTGGCGTCGAAGATGTAACAGGCCGGGTCTGGGTCCGGCGTAGCCATGATGATTTTCACTATCTGATAATCATTGGCAGTCTGAAAGTTCAAAAAATTTTTCTCATAGACCCGTCCACCATAGCCAAGCACTTTCACACCTTCCACCTCCACCTCCTTTACCCATCCAACATAGCCAAGCACCTTCACACATTCTTCCACCTCCACCTCCTTCGCCCATCCACCATAGCCAAGCACGTTCACACCTTCTTCCTCCTCCACCTCCTTCACCCATCCACCATAGCCAAGCACCTTCACACCTTCTTCCACTTCCACCTCCTTCGCCCATTCACCATTCCCAACCACCTTCACACCTTCTTCCACCTCCACCTCCTTCACCTATCCACCATAGTCAGGCACCTTCACGCCTTCTTCCACCTCCACCTCCTTCACCCATCTACCATGGCCAAGCACCTTCACACCTTCTTCCACCTCCACCTCCTTCGCCCATCCGCCATAGCCAAGCACCTTCACACCTTCTTCCACCTGCACCTCCTTCACCCGTCCGCCGTGGCCAAGTACCTTCACACCTTCTTCCACCTCCAGCTCCTTCACCTATCCACCATAGCTAAGCACCTTCCCACCTTCTTTCACCTCCACCTCCTTCACCCATCAACCATAGCCAAGCACCTTCACACCCTCTTCCACCTCCACCTCCTTCACCCATCCACCATAGCCAAGCACCTTCACACCTTCTTCCACCTCCACCTCCTCCACCCATCCACCACAGCCGAGCATCTTCACATATTCTTTCACCCCCACTACCACCAACTGATGCGGCGGTCCAAGGCATATAGGGCAGCAAAATAGGGGGTAAATTGGATAGGCTTAGAGTCTCTCTCTCTCTCTCTCTCTCTCTCTCTCTCTCTCTCTCTCGCTCTTTTTTTTGCTTGACATGCGACTAACTCTTTTGTCAATCACTTGTTACATTGTCAGGGTACAAATGGAAAAAGAACCTTTAATCTCACTTGGTGGAAGAAGAGGGCAAGGGGAGGGTTGTCGACCCCTTGTGCCACTAAGAAGATCATAAAGAGGAGGGTCTGACAAGCTTGACGGTTGACAAAGTCCGAGAAGGGCTAGAAAAGGATTGCTAAGCAAGAGAAAGGTCAGTTGACTCAACCAGAACCTGGACTGCATGACTAAGAGAGGAGGATGGCATGGATGAAGGAAGGAAATGAAAAGGGAAAGCGCCTAAGGACATGGAAATTAGGCATGTGGGAGGGACTATGTGTTGATCCCAAATGGGGGTTGTATCTGTCTGCTTTGTGTTTGAGTGCGCAGGTGAGTAGCCTTGGGATGTGTAGAGCTGGACTGAGCCCGGTATGCCGGGCGGCAAAGGGGAAAGGGAAGGGCAAAGGCCAACTGACCTTGGACGTAAATTTTATCTATGAATCAGACCTTTGTGCATGCAACCTTGAGTATGGATGAAAAAGATAAAGGGATGTTGTGTATGGTTGAAGTGTTGCCTACTAGGCCTTTGAGCATGCGGGTGGGGACCTCGAAAAGACTAAGGGGTACTCAGGGAAGCAATGAGCACGATGCATGTCGTATGGAAATATGAGTGCTAGTGCATAGGCTGGCTAAGGGGGAGAACGACATTCACGCACCTCGATGAAGCCCTAGGACCATTGCGTAAGGAAATGGATGTGTGGCCCAAGTACGATGCTTGGTCTGCGCCATAAGAGAAGACAAGTCTTTCAAGGAACTCCCTGGACTGTATGTGTATTGGAAGGAGCAATCGCCTGAGAACACTGCAAAGTATCAAAAAATGGACGTTTGCAAGTGAACAACGAAAACTGCCTCCTTGCGAGAAAAGTTGAGTTTACATCCCCAATTTCAAAGCTCTCTCGCTCAATGGCCCATCCCCATCCATCTCAAAGCACTAGGTGGGGATGACCCTGTGACGAATGGCTTCGCGCCCTGAGCATGAGTGTGGGTGGAGTCAACAGGGACCCGCAGAGGGGTCGACTCAAACTCGAAAGTCTAAAAGGGTGAGGCCCTTCACCGTGATCACCACGAGTTCTGCATTTTTATCTCTGTACAGGGGCTCTACCCCCCCCCCTCCCCTTCTGACTGGCCATCGTGCTGGAAGCAGAGTCTCAGACCTAACACGCCTCCTTCCGTTCACTGGGAAATACGACAACACACCACTAGTGGCAGATGTGACATCCGCCGTTGTTTTTGGTGGTTTTTTTTTTTTTTTTTTTTTTTTTGTGGCATTGTGAATTTTYTTTTTGTTCCCTTTTGTTTTTCCGTGTCTTGTACCAGTTCTTGCGTTCCCTTCACCCATTGCTGATGCGACGGCACCTATCCGCGTCGCCATTACGCGTATGCTCCTAGCAACGATGGTGACACCTTACTTGTTCACCTGAGCAATCATCAACGTGGCTTTGTCCAAGCCGTCCACGTACACACGTGTGAACTCAGCCATGGCAACTCCCCCGGATGACACAGAAGATGGGTTGTCTCCGACATGGACTCTATTGGCGCCGGTTTGCCTAAAGTTTGACATGTTGGCCGATGTGTCGGATCCTCCTTTGTCTGACCCTCCTTTGTCCGACCCTCTTTGTTCACCCGAGCCTTCCCTCATACCTTCTGCTTCACACCACCCATAGTGTCGGAGTTCATGGATTCTTCACAAGTCCTGCATGATCTTTTTAACACCCACTCCATCGCCTGCCAAAGACGTTGATCGAACGTCATGTAAAGGCCTTTCGCCTCTTTCTCCTCTTCGGTCATGTCCCGATAGGATTGATGGTCTGGCCGCCCGACCTTGTCCACAAGCACTTTTAGCTTATGTCCCAGGTTGAAACATTTTTTTCCTGCAGTTCTTTGTGGACCTCATCATCCCTTCCTTTTTCATGCGGTCAGACACCCACTCTTGTCTCTACCCCTTCTTCATACACTTGTGCCTGGCGTTGGCATCCGCCATCATCGCGTCATCCTCACGTTGCCATTTTGCAGCGCCAAGCACTCCTCCAGCGTCCAAGGCACAATCTTTTTAGGAGGACCTTTTCCTTTATGCCTTCCGTCATCAACTGCTGGTGGGTTGTCATCAGTCTCTTGTCCACCCTCGTCTTTACCACTCTCACTCGCCTCCCCACAGCAATGGTGGAGTACACTCTCTCGTGCCACGTCCTCCCCCTGGTGGTTGTCTTTCTCGTTCGTTGCCTCCGCCAATGTCACTTTTGCCCTCCCGCCCTTGGGCTCGACCCCTTCCATCACCACGACTGGTCGGTGCCATGCCACCATGCACACGATCCACAGACTCCAACGACCTCGAGTCGACTATTATCTGTTGGGGGGCTGCATGAGAGCATTCCTGCCCCTGACGGACACCACTGCCACTGTTCGCGTTCACCCGTGATGTGGCAAGTAACCCCCCATGCAGCGGCGTTCCTCCATGTGGCAATGTCCTCTGCCCACGACCAGTTTGTGCCTCGCATCCGAAGTCGTTTTCCCCATGGTTGTACACACCCCCGTTACATTGTCGGTTGGATGCCACCCTTCGTGACATGTCCTCCACTGACATCCGTCGACATTGCCCCTCGGAGAATGACTCCTCATACTCCCCGCACAGCGTCGCTGTGAAACTGCCTGCACGGGCCATGCCGGCCCCGTGCACGGCCATGTCCACACTGGATGATTGTGAATACACAACGACAATTGAACTGCCTCGCCCAGATCCGCCCCCATGTGCAGATTCATAGTAGAAAGGCACATAACCCGATCGCACATCTCGAAGGCCGAGCGGATCATTCCTCCACACCAGCAGTTGCCCGACAGCCGTAGGGAAGGGAGGAGGGACACCGAACCTGTCAGCGTCTTGACTCAGGATCAACAAGTGGGACGATGGCAAAACGGAGTGCTCGCCTTGATACTGCGGTGGATGTTGGGAACTGTGGCGACAACCTCCCATACCTTCGTTGTCGCTCTTCTCGACCCTATACCGTTTGTCCATGCTGGCCATGCAGATGAGAAGACAAGAACTTGTGCTGTTGGTGTTGCCCTATTGGGCATGGACATCGACTCACGATTTTTCTGTATCATTCTCAATTGGATGGTTACTCGGTTGCTCGGTTCCATTGTGCTATCTGCTCTGGCTTTGACTACTTGGACTTCAGTGTGATTTTGCATTCTGGATTTCTGTGCTTCCGCCTTCACTTAGGGCGGGCAACTGTGACCTCCGTCCCCTACAAAAAACGGACGAGCAAGGTGACGCAAAAGGCGAGAGCGAGGAGGACAACGATGCAGGTCAGGAAGATGGCAACGGCGAGGATGAGGACAACCGTGGCACGAACAGGATTGTCGGATGAAGGAAGATGCACGGAGTGCGGACACCTCTGGTGCTTGTTGTCCTTGCGCAGCAGCAACAGATATGACCTGCCAGGCTGGTTAATCCCCGAAGCCTCTTTCATCGTCACTGTCGCGAACACACGTGGTTGCATGCTCATCGGCTCTTGTACTGTTGAACCGGTCGCCAACAGAAAGTGATGTGGTCGGAGGACACCTCGGTACCGAACAAGGGGCTGGGAAACCAGGAGATGACAATGTCCAATGGTCGATGCGAAGTGCGCGAGGAGCCTGCAACTTTCCAGCGCGCCAGCAGGTGATATCTTCGTGCGTTGCAAGGGCAGGGTGCCCCTGATGACGATGTGGCCACGGACCCCACTGCAGATGGTTGGGTCTCGGGCTGGCACATTCGGTAGACCACCACCGCACATGAGACAGTTGCTCATACCATTGCCGATCTGCGAAAGCAGTTGATGTCCAGAGTATGCCCCGCAAGCTTCTCCCACAACTCGGTAGTGTACAAAGGGCGGTGACAGGCCCGCTAGGATTGCACGGACCCTTTGCATGCCTTCGGAGAGCTATGGTGCCACACACGCTTGTGGAAGGTTCGTCACGACTGGCCGGGATGTCGCCTGCATGGGACATGCACGGGACAATCGCCGGTCGGATTTTGGATATAGTGGATGTCCCTTCTTTTCTTTTCTTTTATTTTATTTTATTTTATTACGTCGTATTTTCAATCTCGAATTCCTCCCACCGGCAATCACTCCCCCACCCCACCCCCCCTTCCCCAACATTTCAAATTTTAAATTCAAACGGTTGTTCTCAACGATCGTGTGTGTGTTTTCCCTTTCTGTTTCCCCTCCATTTTCTTTTCACCCGCCTTCGCCTCCCAAAGGACCCTGGACGAAACCACGAAACCGTACCCACATGATCACCATGAGGTCTTAGACCCTTCGCAGCCGTAGGAGGGGTCGCTCTGGGTAATCCCCAAACCGAAAAGAAAAAGAAAGAAACAGGCATGCCGCACCTCCTGTGTGACACTCACATCCTGTTCGCCCACGGCTATGGATCACCTGCTTGGACCACAACAAGTCTGCCCACCAATGTCGGCCCCGACCCTCTATCGGCATCGGAGGAGATGCCGCACCCCCCTACCCTTCCGTCGGCACCGGAAAGTCCTATAGCCAGGGAGTACCAAGGGCCCACGGCAGTCCTGTCACCAGGGGGTACCAGGGGCCCGCGGCCAGAGTGGAAGCGCTTCTCCCAAGTTTCCAAACATCGAATCCGCTCTGTGTAAGGTCCCGCCAGCTTCGTTTTGGAAACCAAAATTCTTTCCCGCGGCTGTGGGGTCCAACCCTTAGTCCTACAAAGTATCTATAGTTCACTAAGGCAGGTCCGAAGGTGATGGTGAGTCCTAATGTCTTCACCCACCCAGTTACTATCCCTGTATGCAGACTGACAGATGTACCAATACGATGTCTTCACCTCACAAGTTTCGGACTGCAAGGTTGGGACCGTGTACTTGTGGTTTAATGACAGTATTATCCCTGTATGTGTACTAACGGTTGTACAGTGTATTCGGGTGAAGAAGGCATCCGAACACCCTTGTCAGGCTTTCCAAAAGAAAAGGCGTCTTTCTAGAAAAGGAGTAAAAGAAAGATCGCCTTCCCATCCCAACCGTTAGGTCTCTTGGGGCTACCGTCTTCCCCCCAACAAAACGCATGTGTGTTGTAAGCGAATACAACGCATACCGTGTGTTGTATTCGTTTGCAACACATATGCTTTATGTTCGAGTGAATGAGACCAACTTTACCTGCACAAGGGGGTCGGGTCCAGGCTGAGTAGGCTCAATTCTGGACCATGGCTGGGGGGCCTCAGACCCTTGGCAAAAAGGTAAAAGTAAAGTAGCGACATACCTTTCCATTTTAGCTAAAACAGGGTGGTACCTTGGCTGGCCTGGTGTTGAGTGATACCATGCGGGGGGGTTTTGGCAGATCGAACAGGGGTCTGGTGGGACCTTTGGACCTATTGCCTTTTGCTTCTTTTGGGGCCCCCCTTGGGCCTCTCGGCACCGTCGATCAATGGACTTCCGGGGTAGGGTACTATGCTGTTTTGATAGCTTTTGTCCCTGTCAATCACTTAGGTTGTTGTCAGTGGTGGCTATAAATAGGTTCACGGTGCAATGTTTTCTCCATCTCCGCTGTGACTTTTCGAAGACCCCTGACGATTCCGGCTCTGGCGGCCAGAGGAAACATGTAGGGTCAGCCGCCAGAAGTTCAGCCTGTGCTATATTGATTACGGGCACGACGCCCATATCCGGTTCGAGGTACGGGCTTTGTTCTTCATGATTATTTAATTAAGCCTTGTCGCGTTCGGGAGAGAAAATCTTGCGTCGTGTGTTGTCTTCTTTGTCTCTTTGGTTGTCTCCCTAGTTGTTACTGCTCTGTCCGTCGTGTGTTTGTCTTCTTTGTCCTTGTTTGTCTCCATCTGCTTCTGCGAAATGCTTTGGTTTTTACTGTGAACATATTTTTGTGCTTTCTATTTGTCCCGGTCCGTTGTATTGCTCTCTGCATGTAGGGTTCTAACGCTGAGTTACGGTCATTGTCAAATTTATTTGCGTGATTTACTCACCATTTACTCAACGTAGTAACCTCCGTAGACATTAGACTACGGTAGTGTGGCCCGTGTTCGACATTGACCTATACTAATTCAATGTTCCTACCTGTGTTGTAGACTACAATATGGCAGGTCAAACGTATGCGAGATCATGTTACAACTGTGGCTCCCCTAATCACTTTATGCGGGAGTGTCCACACCGGGGGTACGGGAGACCTCTTGCTACTGGGGCGAATTTGACTCCTCTTGCCACGCAACCACTGCTCGCCTTACCTGCTCCTGCGACTTCTTCATCTGTCGCTCCACCTGCGACTGCTCCGGCGTACCCGGCGCAACATTTTAATCAACCACGGCCTAATTGGTGGAGGCTGAATCAGGAAAAGCTGGATAAATGTTATGCTAAGACCATTGCTGACGAAGAAAGGGAGGCCAAGATGAAGGAAGAAGAAGAGAAGAAGAAGAGATTAAAGGAGGAAGAAAACAGAAAATAAGAATGGAGGAAGGAGCGTGAGCGTCTTGAAGAGGAGATGGGAGCACGCCTTGACAAGCGATTGGAGAAAGTCTGTCCACAATTGAAAGGCAAGGGGGATGTAGAATCTAACTCTAACGATGTGATGGTGCAGTTGAAAAAGGAGAATGAGAGGCTGAAGAAATTATTGTTGGGTGAAGGAAGTAGTGATGGGGAAGACAGGATGCTGCGACTGCAGCGTGAGATCGCGGACCTGAGGAGGCAAGTTGCCGAGAAGAAGTCCGCGGAGGATGATATCTTTGCGCTGCGTCAAGAAATTGAACAGCTGAGAGGAACGGCGTTGGTTAAAACAAATTTCAAACAGGAAATTGCCGGTCTCAAAATGGAGATTGGGCTGTTGAGAGGGCAAAGTGCTAAAGCTAGGGAGGAGGTCGAGTTGTGGAAAGGCGAGGCGTTAAAGACCCGGCAACAAACGGGGTAGCTGCGCCATCGGCACTCCCGACTGCTCGGTGAGAGGATCACCTAAACCAAGATGGACGGATAATCTGCGTGATACGGACAAGTGGAAACAGGAATACCTTAAGATGAAGGAAATGCATCGAGTAGCAAGCCTCGAGGCGGAAGCGTTGAAGGGGAAACGCGCTAATGCCGAGGCGGAGGTCATTAAGCTTCAAGAACAGATGGGCAAATTGTCGGCCGCTGAGAAACCGGAGAAGGCTGTGGGCGGTGGAACGAATCTGAAATCCAGACTAGAGGCAGTGGCTACCCACTCTACTAGAAAAGGGAAAAAGGCTACACCTATGAGAGAAGGTGGAAGCAGGACTAATGGAGTCGGGGAACTCAATGAAAGGTATGTGTTCATCGAGGAGCAGAAGAAGATGCTCCGTCAGTACAAGAAGTCTGGTCTGGAAATGTTATGCAAGGAGGCGGGTTTGAAGTTAGGTATGGTTGAACCCATGATTGCGGAGCTGGCCGAGTACCGTGCGGACAAAGCCTTTGGAAAATCCAAGGACAAAGAGAAGGTCGTACCTGTTGAGGAAGTCTCGGATGATTCACCGTCCCAGAATGAGGTATCTGCGACGGAGGACGATCGCTCGGTCGAGCTCTAGGACAGTATCTCGGACGCTATAATCTGTGGAAGTGGGCTCGTTACTGTAGGATTTTGAGAAGTAGGTACGCTCCCTTTTCTTCTTTTTCTGAGGTCACGTCCCCTGATTGCATCTCTGCTCCATTGACTATGGATGATGATAAGGATATTGGTTTGTCTTACCTGAGGGATAGGGAATTTAACGCCTTCTATAGGAGAATTGTTATCAACTTGATTCTGAAAGACTGCATCCCGTGGGCAGGGAAGTTGAAGAATTACTTGGAAGGGTTAGCTGACAATGATTTTGACTTTGAGAAATGTGAGGGTCCTCTGGTATATGCTTTAGTCTCTCCATGGTCAAGGCACACATATGTCGGGTCTACTGCGCGGTCTCTTCCTATTCGCTGGAACGAACATGTCTACTGATGCCTGAATCAGGATGTTGTCGAGAAAGGAAAACGTAATCATCGTCTATATTCGTGGTTCCGAAGATGCGGGATTGGACAGTACGTAAGTATCCCGCTCTGTGTCTGTGAAGAGGAGGATCTTCTTGATGTTGAAGGTAGTC